CGACTGGTGTGGGTATCATTCCAATATTGACATTCAAACTGTGAAAATTTTCATTGGTTTTAACCTTCCTATCTTTCTTTTTGTTAGTCCTACTCCATTTGTAATTAAATGGTTTGACTTTTTACGTAATGGTTGGCTATTTTTTCATGTAGCTTAACTTAAATTTGCGTTGCATGCTTTGGTGTATGGTTTATAATGTTACAGTGCATTAATAACATTATTATCATCAATTTTCTTTCTTTATGAAAATACTTTTTAGCGAAACAGTTTTTCTTGTCGTATTATTATATGCACAGCGTGTATCGTTGGGAATCTTTATGTCAACTATTACTTTTGTTAGCTATCAAAGCACTTTTCTTCCTTGGAGTAAATTACAACTAAAGTTAATAAATTTACATATATTTTATATATTTTTTGTTTTAAGAACTGAAATTCACATTTTATATATAAAGATATAAAAGTGGATAGAATAAAATTTTTTTACGGAAAATTACAAACGAAGATTCAACGGGTATAACAGTTTCATTGCAATTTATAAGAATTTATAATCTATAACATATAATTTAGAACTCCATATTATCGAGGTTTAAAAACGAGTAAATACTTTTATATATTAAAAAGAGTTAAATTTAATAGATAAAATTTCATATTAAAATCATACTATCGTATATATAATCGATCAAAAAACAAAAACTAATAATTTTGAACTCTCACTTTAGATAGTGAGTTATAGTTTTAATGTTGGTTAAGGGAAAAAATATATTTTATTTAAGAATCGAAATAGGACATCATAAAGAGGGAGTTATTAATTGTACAACATCACATACAGACATTTTCATATTTTAAAAATATTCAGCAAACATGAGCAATATTCTTATAAATAATTTGTTAAGAACAGGTTTATGAACTAAAGTAAAGCATGCAATTCCCAGAAAAATTGCAAAAGAGAAAGAAATAAAACATATTATTGAAACTTGGATGTATATGAGCTAATTGCCATTCAAATGATCTTGTGTCAACAAATAAAATAGTGAGAACCAATACCACATAGGCATAGTCTATTTATAGAAGAATTTAAAGGAAGTGTACAATCTATTTATAATACTTAAATTTAAAGGATGAGCTATATATCATGATAGATTCTTGTAATCGTTTTTTTATATATGTCATGCAAGTAAATAATTACGAGTTTTCATTTCTTTTATAACCTTTCAACTCTTTTGATCGAGCATAAGTTTAAGTATATTTTTTATCATCACATTTTAATAATTTTTTATTTTAATAATATTTTTATAACTTTTATTTTTAATTTCTATTGTTGATTTGATTCTCTAGATGTTATTAAATATCAGTTTTTATTTGAACCACATTAATTAGAAAACTGAAATTATAATTTGTTAAAATATAAAAATAAATAAATAAATATTTAGAGAAACTAAAACTCAAAAATTGCTACGTTATAGAAAATAAAGAATAATGCTATTCAAACACTCCGTTTAGGTGTCTATATATATCAACAGTGTCTATTCCCAAAAAATTTAAATTAAAACCTCACTCACATATGGTGTTGGGTATAGACACCTAAACGGGGTGATTGAATAGCATTATTCAAAAATAAAAGTATATTTACCCCTGTCAACGTATTATTACCTTTTCTTTTTTATTAAGTTAATTGTTCATTATCATTCTTTTTGTCTTTGACTTTTCATTTAATTCTCAATTTCAAAACTTTTTTCTTCTCAACATTTTGTCCAATCATTCTGTTTTCTATTTTGGACCATTTGTCAATGTTTATGACATTTTTATTGTTATTTTTATATCACTGTCACGTGTTAAGCTGGTTAATTAAGATGAAATTCATATGCAAATAATAAGTTAGCTAGAAAAGAGTTTATCTAATATCTTGCTTCCTAAGTAAATTTTATAGTTTTTTAAATTAATATTTATAATTATGTTAATATTTTAAAAATTAAAAAATATTTATGTATTTAATATAATACTAATAATGATGTGTAAAATTATATAAAATATTTTTTTAATCTTTAAAGCATCGTAAAATTTCTAAACATTTAAGAGGAACTGATGAGACTCACCAAAATTTAAGAAGTGTATAAGATATTATTTCAAATTTATCAAAATGCGTTAAGCACTTAAAAAAAATTCTTTTCTTTAATTTGTTTCCTTTGTTGGAAATCATAATTTTTGAAAATCTAAAATGATGACAAAGAATAGAGGAACTATTAATGAAATTAAGGGGATGCATTGGTTTAGGATGTCATAATATTTTGAAAGATTTTTTTTAAGTAAAGAAGTCTGTTGGTATTTAATCAGAATTTTATGTCACTTAAAAACAATTCAATTGTATTCAATCTGGATTTTCAAGATTTTTTAAATAGTCTATTAAAATCTATTGATATTTATTTGAGACTTTTTACAACTTAAAAATAATTTATTGATATTAAAAAAATATAAGAAATTTAAAGGATTGTTGTATTAAAGAAATTTTGAAAGGTTTTTTAGTGGTATCTATAAATAGCAAATTCATAAAACAATCACATCCAAACCCATTAGATTTTGGAGGATTGTTTGAAATGACTTTTTAAGTGCTTCAAGAATTTTCAAGTGAGTTTTTTTATCTCTTTTTTTTTCTATGCTCTTATCTTCTCTATTTTTCTCTTTGCAAATAATACTGCACTACTACTGCTCATATATAATACTATACTACTATTCCCTTTTCATTCTCCTATTTGGTGAAAATATAAATGACAGTGTCATTGACTTGTTCTATTTAGTTGGGTTTATTCCTTAGATATATAACATAGAAAACACTTGAAATTTTAACTTTTAAGTAGTAATTTTTTAATAACAAGTGTTAAGAAAAGCGAAAGGTGAAAGCTGAAATTGATATCATGATCTCTACAATCAACTGTAGATCTTCAAATAGTTAACTAGCATCTCTAACTGTTAAGTTTGAGATATTTTTCTACATCATATAACATTTTTTAATTGAATAAATAGATGTTAAATATCTAAAATATAGAAATAATAATGTATATACCCTATTTATCTAAATAGCAGTTTAGCCTTTTACGAGACTATAATATTGTTTTTAATTATACAGGTACCTATTAGGTGAGATATAAATTTAATAAGTATTCTTATCTATAATTATTTATATAACTAGTTTCTAACATATGTTGTTTTAGTAATTCAAATGGGAGATTACAAGAAAATAATAAATGAAAGGAAAAAGAGAAAGAAAACTATAAAGTTCGGACTAAGGAGGACTTAGATGAATTGTTACACTTGATATTGTGTAATTCGTAACACATTTGGCAGATCACAATTTGCTATAAGTGAAAATTTTCACAAGATTTTGAAAACTTTGAATACGATAGCACCTACTTTGATGGCTAAACCAGGATCAATTGTATCGGCTAAAATTAGAGAAAGCACAAGGTTCTTCCCTTTCTTCAAGGTATGTACTAATTATCTTACAATAAAAATTATAATTAAATTTGGCACTACTATATTTATATTTTTCATATGATGAAGTGTTATATATGCTAAATGTTAGAATTGCATTGAAGCTATTGACGGGACACATATTCTAGCAATGGTGAGGGGACAAGATGTAAGTAGTTATCGTAATTGTCATAGAAAAATATCACAAAATGTATTAGCTGCTTGTAATTTTGATTTGAAGTTCATGTACATTCTTAATGGGTGGGAAGGTTCTATTCATGATTTTAAGCTATTAAATGATGTTATAACAAGGAGAAATGGACTTAAAGTAGCTCAAAGTAAGTGCTTATTTTTTAAATAATAATAATAATAAAATTATTATTATTATTATTATTATTATACTAATATTATATAGATTGCATATGTAATTAGGTAAATATTTCTTGGTGAATTGTGAATTTCTTAATCGATGCTAATTTTTAGCTCTATTTCGAGGTGCAAGATATCATCTACAAGATTTTGCAGGTCAGGTAATAACCCTGAAAATAAGAAAAAATTGTTCAATCTTCGTCATGCATCTTTAAGGAATGTGATCGAAAGAATATTTAATATTTTTAAATCAAGGTTCACAAATTTTAAGTCAGCACCTCCATTTTTATTTAAGACACAAGTAGAACTTGTATTAAGATGTGCAATACTACATAACTTTCTTCTCAAAAAATGTCGTTATAATAAATTTCTAGTTGAACCAATGGACGAACCTTCATCTTCAACATTACCGATTAATGAAGATCATAATTTTGAGCTTATTATTCAAATCCAGGAGCAAGAGCGAGAAAACGCTAATGCTTGAAAGACTAGTATAACTATGGATACGTAGGTGAATGCTATTTAGGAGAACATGATATTTTGAAGAATTATTATTATTATTTATCTAAACATTTTTTTTTGTCTTTAACTCTTTTTAAATTTGAATGTATGAAAAAAATTAAACTTTTTATGTTAAAAATTCATGAAATTCTACAAAGTCGACAAAGTCTCGTAAAATTTATTAAAATCATGAATTAAAAGTCTTGCAGAATCTATTAAAATTTTAATTTTAAAATCTTACATAATTTATTAAAATCTTGATTTTAAAACTTGCAGAATCCTGCAAAGTCTACAAGTTCTTTAAAATCCTGCAAAGTCTACAAGTTCTTTAAAATCCTAATTCAATACACCCCCAAGAAATCTTGTTCCTACTATGATCATTACACTTCAAAGGGGATAGTATCTTGGGAGGGATATCTTGGTTTACAAAACCAAAAATATAAAATTTAGGTCATCTTTTAGATATTACTTTTCTCCTTTTTAATTGAAATTAAAGATTTATTTTAATAAAAAAAATAAACATTTAATATTGTTTATTGATTTTGAAACATGCAGAAGACCGCCGTTTACCATAATCCATAAGCAAACAAAGTAGACATGTTTGAATAATTACACACATTCTGACACAAAGCTTCCATTAGCTTGCACTGCAATTGCACACGAACATGGCTTTCTGGATCCCACTCTTTTTACTTCTCTCAATTTTTTCATTCCAAAGTTCATTTTCTTTATCGTCATTGAACATGGGCTCCTCCCTCTCAGTGGAGAAGCCTGAAGAAGACGTTATTGTCTCCCAAAATGGAGTGTTCTCTGCAGGCTTCTTTCAAGTTGGGGAAAACGCATATACCTTCGCCATATGGTTCACGGAGCCTCGCACCATCGTTTGGATGGCAAATCGTAACCAACCCATCAACGGAAAGCGCTCAAAGCTTTCACTATCATACAGTGGTAACACTGTCTTGGTTGATGCAGGTGAAAGCAACACGTGGTCTTCAAACACAGCATCACAAGCCCCAACACAGTTGTATCTTAGAGATGATGGAAATCTTGTGTTACATGAACTGCCAAGTACGAATAGCATTTTGTGGCAAAGTTTTGATTTTCCAACTCATACTCTCCTTCCCGGTCAACGTCTTAGTGCATATACACAACTTGTGTCTTCTAGAAGCCCAAGTAACCATTCCTCTGGTTTCTATACGTTGTTCTTTGGTGACAACAACGTTCTTAGTCTTGTTTATCATGGTCTTGATGTTTCAAGCACTTACTGGCCACAAACTTGGTTACTACCTCGGCAAGTTGGAAGGTTTGATTACAATAGCAACAGAGATGCAGGGTTGGATTCTCTTGGAATTTTCACTTCATCCGATAATTATAATTTTTCCACTAATGATCATGGCACGCTGATGCAAAGGAGATTAACACTGGATTCTGACGGCAACGTTCGTGTGTATAGTAGACATAATGCCTCCAAGAATTGGTACGTTTCATGGCAAGTCATATCAGATGCTTGCACCATTCATGGAATTTGTGGAGCTAACAGTACCTGCAGTTATTATCCTGAAGGGAGAAGGAGATGCTCGTGTTTACCAGGGTACAAACTAAAGAACCATAGTGATTGGTCTTATGGGTGTGAACCCGTGTTTCATCTTACTTGCTATAGAAATGAGTCTACCTTTTTTAAGATGCAAGGTGTTGAGTTTTATGGTTATGATAGTAATTATGTCCAAAACAGTACTCACGTGAATTGTGTGAATTTATGTTTACAAGATTGTAACTGTAAAGGGTTTCAATATAGATATGATAGGAACAAAGGCTTTAGCAGCTGCTTTACAAAGTTACAGTTGCAGAATGGAAGGCGCTCACCTCGTTATAATGGAGCAATTTACATGAGAGTGCCTAAAAATACTAAGATCTCCGAGGAAGAATTTGAGAGTGCATGTGATCATTTATGTTTCGTGGAGCTTCACAGGGATAAAAAACAGGTAAGCCGTTTGGTATGGTTGCTTCTGTGGCTAGCTATAGCATTTGGAGCTATAGAAATAGTTTGCATTTTGGTGGTTTGGTGTGTATTAAGTAGTAACCGCCAAAAGATTGGTGTAGATGAGCAAGGCTGTCGCCTTTCTGCAGTAGGATTCAAAAAATTCAGTTATTCTGAGTTGAAGAAAGCCACAAAGGAGTTCAGTGAAGAGATTGGAAGGGGAGCAAGTGGGATTGTATACAGAGGTATTTTGTCAGATCAAAGACACGCAGCAATAAAGAGACTCAACGAAGCTAAACAAGAAGAAGGGGAATTCCTTGCAGAAGTGAGCATCATCGGAAGGCTTAACCACATGAACTTGATTGAAATGTGGGGATATTGTGCTGAGGGAAAGCATAGGTTGTTGGTGTATGAGTATATGGAAAATGGTTCATTGGCAGAAAATCTCTCATCTAGCAGCACACTTGATTGGAGCAAGAGATATGAGATTGCTCTTGGAACGGCTAGAGTTCTAGCTTATCTACACGAAGAATGCCAAGAATGGATTTTGCACTGCGACATAAAGCCTCAAAACATTCTTCTTGATGGTAATTATCAGCCCAGGGTAGCTGATTTTGGCTTCTCTAAGTTACTGAACAGAAACAACCTCAATAATTTAAGCTTCTCAATGATAAGAGGAACGCGAGGTTATATGGCACCAGAGTGGGTTTACAATTTACCGATTACCTCCAAAGTGGATGTTTATAGCTATGGAATTGTTCTCTTAGTGATGATAACTGGGAAGAGTCCTACAACGGATGTTGAAACAGTTGATGGAACAGAGGCATGCAACGAGAGGCTGGTAACATGGGTGAGAAAGAGAAAAAGGAGCACATATTGGGTGGAGCAAATCATGGATCCTGCAATTGGTCCAAATTATGATGCAAGTAAGATGGAAATTTTGGCCAGAGTTGCTTTGGACTGTGTAGAGGAAGACAAAGAAGCAAGACCCACCATGAGGCAAGTGGTTGAGATGCTGCAAAGCCATGACAGCAATATAGAGTGATGAAAGCTATGCTAATAAATTATTGGTGCATGTCTTAAATATATGTGGAGCAATGCGTTTAGAATATGTTTAGCTGTGTACTAGGCAGATTTATTTCTTTGTTTCAGTATTTTAGGCTATGTTGAGAATTTAATCCTTTAGATTGATGGTGCATATATATGTCTAGTTAATCTCGGTCAGTGTTTTTAATTGTACTTTTTTGTGTTGTTTTTTTCTTCTTATTACATCAATAATAATGTTTCTGTCACGCATTTTTATAATAATTTTACACAACAGAAAGAGATAAAAAAATAATAATGATAAAATGGTATACCAAAAAGTGATAAAAAAAGAAAAATAAGAAGTGTGTAAAAATGGTTACAACCATAACATTATTCGTATTATATGTGTTAGTAAGATTGCTTAATCTAACAAAAAAGACTTGTGAGTTTTGAAGTTTGCTAGGAGGGGTATCCACGAACTGGTTTGGTTTAGATTTGGGGAAAAAATAATCTAAACGAATGAAAATGGATTGCTTTGGTTTGTTTTAGATTTGTGTAAAAAATTTTAAAAATCAGAATCAATTCGAATTAAACATAAATAAGTAGGTTCAGTTTGCATCATTGAATTATCCGATTAAATAACCTAAAATAAAAAATGTATAAGAAAACAAAAAAAAAACTATTTTTTCTATTTGAATAATTCTTGACACATAATTTTAACATAATTACACATTCTAACACAAATACACAAATTCAAAATCGAGTTTGATCACTTTGGATCGAATCAGACTTGTTAAGTGTTAGTTTAGATTGTTTTTCAATTTAGATCGATTTGGATCATTGAGTTCATTAGTTTATCTGATTTGATGGACACCTCTATTTATCGGTAATATAAGTAACGAACACTTCTATTTATCGATAATATAAGTAAAAGATAGTTTCACCTTTGTAATTGATCTATAAATTAAAAGAAATAAAAAAAACAGCTGATATAATTTAAATGTAACAACTAGTAATTGACATAAAAAAGGGTGTAAAGTAAGTATAAATTTGGAATAAAAAATTAAGATTGTGAGCAAACATTTTCTTTGCAATAAACTAAGATACATATATTTCTTTTCAAATAAAAAAAATACTAATTTTTTAAATTAAATGATAACAACAAAGTCCTAAATGATAAAAGAAGCTAGCACATAGTGATGACTAAAGATACAAATATATTAGATTTTACACAAATAAATTTAATTTATTCAATAATTTTAAAGTCTGACTTATTATTTATAATAATATTTTTTTATTAACTTTAGTCTAATCATTTTAAAAGTCTAATTTTATTTATTAACTTTTTTAATAACTTACTTTAAATTAAAATTTTTATTAGATCACTAAATATCTAAAATTTGACTATCAAATTATTCAAATAGGTATATCTCTATTAAAGTTATAAGATTTATATATAAATAACTGATAAAGAAAAATAGTTCAGTACTTTAAATATTTATAATAAAATTATATATTTTTATTTATTATTTTAAAATCATATATTTAATTTAAATAAATGAATAACTAAATATTCAACAAATATAAATACATATCAACTTTACACATCTAAAATAAATCAAGCAACAATAACGTATAAAATTCCAACAAGGGACATACTCTCTTTGTATGTAGTAGGAAACTTTCTAACTTCAACAAAAATAGGATTAAAGTTTCAAATTTAAAATTTAATTTATTATAATATTATATTCTATAACTTTTATAAAATTATTTGATATATTATTATTATTAATCTTATGAATTTTAAATAAATCATTTTATTAAATCTATTTTTTTAAAATTCAAACTTAACTTTTCAATTATTAAATATTTTAAAAAATTTAAATTAAGCATATTATTTTAATAAATTATTAAATTAAGTTTGAAAAAGATTAAGCCGACAAGCTTCCGTCGGCAGGGACATATTTTGTCCACTCAGTCTCTTTTCTCTACTGAGCCGTTTGTCATTATCTATGGCATTCCTTATAAAATGCCATATAGTTATTTTCATTTCAACGTCTATTACTATTTCTTCATGACGATGACTATTGTTCATCAAGAAAAAGTAAAGAAAACTATATTATATTTTATTAAAAATGTTATATTTTCTAACCCTTATTATATTTCAGCATCGTGCTTTTCTTTAATCATGATCATACACGTGTTAAGTTCATTAAGATGGAGTCCATAATAATAAATTAAAAAGTATTCGTATAATGTTATTTAACTAGTCTAAACATAGTTGTGAATTGATTGTTGATATCTTTCTGTTGACAATTAAAATAAATTATCTAATTGAAATATAATTACTACAAAATTGTGAATACTCAAGAAATAATTTTTTTACTAAAAAATTAATATACTCTAAAAGATTTTAACTTTGTTAATAGCTAATTATACACTTAAATAACCACAAAAAAAATTATTATATTTCTGTAAAACAAACTTGTGTCCAACAAAGATCAAGTAATAAAAACTAAGTAATAAACTATTTCTTCATTAAACTTAATATTCTGAAGCATCACTTATTTATAAAATTTAGAGAAGATTTTTTGTTTAATAATTGAATAAATAACTAGCAAATTAATTTCTAACATGCACTTTCTCAGAAGACACGGGCTTATCTCTTTGTTGCCCAATTGTTGACTTTGACTTCAAAAATAGGAAGTCGTTGATGGATGTAACACAGTGAATGCAGTCCTAACCCAGTAATGGATCTTAGAATGCGTGCACAAAGCTTTATGTATTTGGGGTTCGTTGCAGAATTATGACGTTTAAGGTTGCACACAGCCGTGTGGTTTGAAAGGGGTAAAGGTGTTATATCTCGTGCGCCACCTTTTCAGACGCCACCAATGCTCTTTGCATGGACCACTTATGCACATTTATGGTCTAATCACTAAAGATCTAAATTCGTTGGCTGGCATGGAAACTGGGATCTCGCGTAACTCTGAACATTTCGGACATCTCGAATTCTATTCTTTTACTAATGCTGCTCCAATGGCGGTGCCAAGACTCCATCACTGCATCACAAGAATTATAACTTATTTTACATTCAAACAAGCTTTTCTTACTTGGCTACTTCTTCCTCCAAGTTAAATTTAGAGGAAAAAAATTAAAATTTAAGTTGAATAAAATTTCACAAATTTATTATTAGAAAAACTAACTTTTAGATTAATGATATTTTAAAGTACTTTTTTAAACAAGAAAATTAAATTAAAGCGTACATATGTATTTAAACTAAATATAATTTTACATAATTAGTCCATGTAACCTTTTTTAAAAGTTGGGGCACCTGAGAAATAAAAAAAATTAAACAATGTTTTACATAATTTAGTCCAACAAAGAATGTTGTTTTCTTTAGCTTCTGTCAACCTCTGTTAGAAATTAATCGTGCCTTCCTACTATCCCCATGATTTGAAAATATGACATGGAAACAAAATCTATAGTATGCAACTATCAACGGAAAGAGACGCTCATAGAATTTAAAAAAAATAAAAAAGTCTTGGAGAAGACTTTCCATTTACCAAAAACAAATTATATATGCTTTGATTCCTTACAATCACGGGCATCACTTCACATTCACACGCAGATCATCCATAGCTTTCACTGAAAATTGCATGGCTTTCTCAATCCCACTCTTTTTCCTTCTCCTGGTTTCATTTTTCTACTGTTCATCTTCTTTATCTTCATTGTACAAGGGATCCTCCCTCTCTGCAGAGAAACACTTAGAAGACGTTATTGTCTCTGAAAATGGAGTGTTCTCTGCTGGGTTTTTTAAAGTTGGAGAAAACGCATACTCCTTCGCCATATGGTTCAACAACGACCCTCACAACAACAACACCGTTGTTTGGATGGCAAACCGTGACCAACCCGTGAATCGAAGGTTCTCGAAGTTTCTCTCTTAAACAATGGTAACATTGTCTTGGTTGATGCGGGTCAATACTCGACTTGGTCATCAGACACAGCATCACAAGCCCCATTAAAGTTGCATCTCAGAGATGATGGTAACCTTGTGTTACGTGAGCTTCAAGGAACCGTTTTGTGGCAAAGTTTTGATTTTCCAACTGATACTCTTCTTCCTGGTCAATCTCTTACCAGACACACACAACTTGTGTCTTCTAGAAGCAAGAGTAACCACTCTTCTGGTTTCTATAAACTGTTTTTCGACGATGACAACGTTCTTTGTCTTGTTTACGATGGTCCTGAGGTGTCAAGCACGTATTGGCCAGCCCCTTGGTTGCTACCTTGGCAAAATGGAAGGTTTAATTACAATAGCAGCAGAGTTGCAATGTTAGATTCTCTTGGAAATTTCGTTTCATCAGATAATTATACTTTTTCCACTAATGATCATGGCATGGTGATGAAAAGGAGATTAAAGATGGATTCTGATGGTAATGTTCGTGTCTATAGTAGAAATGATACATCAAAGAAATGGTACGTTTCATGGCAAGTCATAACAGATGCTTGTACTATTCATGGAACTTGTGGAGCTAACAGCACTTGCAGTTATGATCCTAAAAGGAGAAGGAGATGCTCGTGTTTACCAGGGTACAAAGTAAAGAATCAAAGTGATTGGTCTTATGGGTGTGAACCCGTGTTTGATCTTACTTGCAATAGAAGTGAGTCTACATTTTTGGGGATGCATGGTGTCGAGTTTTATGGTTATGACAATAATTATGTCGAAAACAGTACATACACGAATTGTGTGAATTTATGTTTACTAGATTGTAACTGTAAAGGGTTTCAGTACAGATATGATGGGGCCAAAGGGTTTAGCAACTGTTACACAAAGTTACAGTTGCTGAATGGAAGGCGTTCACCTAGTTTTACAGGAATAACTTACTTGCGAGTGCCTAACAGCAATAACATCTCCAAGGAAGAATATGTGAGTGGCAGTGAAATTGATCATGTTTGTTCTGTGCAGCTTCACAGAGACTACGTTAGAAAGCTATCAAGCCGTTTGGTGAGATTTTTTCGGTGGCTGGCTACTGCAGTTGGAACTTTAGAAGTGTTTTGTTTTTCCATGATTTGGGGTTTCCTAATTTGGAACCGTCAAAAGTCTGGTGCGAATCAACAAGGTTACCATCTTACTGTAGCAGGGTTCAGAAAATTCAGTTATTCTGAGTTGAAGAAGGCCACAAAGGGGTTCAGTGAAGAGATTGGAAGGGGTGCAGGTGGGGTTGTATACAAAGGACTTTTGTCAGATCAAAGACATGCAGCAATAAAGAGACTCAATGAAGCTAAACAAGGAGAAGGAGAATTTCTTGCCGAAGTGAGCATCATTGGAAGGCTTAACCACATGAACTTGATTGAAATGTGGGGATATTGTGCTGAGGGAAAGCATAGGTTGTTGGTGTATGAGTATATGGAAAATGGTTCATTGGCAGAAAATCTCTCATCTAGCAGCACACTTGATTGGAGCAAGAGATATGAGATTGCTCTTGGAACGGCTAGAGGTTTAGCTTATCTACACGAAGAATGTCTGGAATGGATTTTGCACTGCGACATAAAGCCTCAAAACATTCTTCTTGACGGTAACTATCAACCCAAGGTAGCAGATTTTGGCTTGTCTAAGTTACTGAACAGAGACAACCTTGATAATTCAAGCTTCTCAATGATAAGAGGAACTCGAGGTTATATGGCACCTGAGTGGCTTTACAATTTACCAATCACCTCCAAAGTGGATGTTTACAGCTATGGAATTGTTCTCTTAGAGATGATAACTGGGAAGAGTCCATCAATGGATGTTGAAACAGTTGATGGAACAGATGCATACAATGGGAGGCTGGTAACATGGGTGAGAGAGAGAAAAAGGAGCACATCTTGGGTGGAGCAAATCATGGATCCTGCAATTGGTCCACATTATGATGCAAGTAAGATGGAAATTTTGGCCAGAGTTGCTTTGGACTGTGTAGAGGAAGACAAAGAAATAAGACCCACCATGAGGCAAGTGGTTGAGATGCTGCAAAGCCACGACACTGATGCTATTCCTCAATGATGGAGTTATGCCAACGGGCATTCAATTGGTTTTAATGAACACTTCGTTTACTGTGCAAATAAGGAAGATTCGTTCCTTTAGTTTGATGGTGCTTTTATCTGTATTTAATGTCAGTAAGTGTCTAATTTTACTTCCTTGTTTGTTCTTGTCTTCCCATCTCCAGGAATTATATGTCTGGAAGGTTTCTTAATCAAATGAAAAGGCTTGTAGTTTCAAGTTTGTAACAATGCATTTTCTTTCCAACATACTCTGATAAAAATCTCTTTTACAATTCATTGGCCACAATACAAGTGCCAAATAAAACAATAGCAGACCCAGGTATCATGAGGATTATAGTATTCATTAATTTGCATATCTTTCATAGTTATAACCTCATGTCAAGCCTTTTTAACTCTTGAATATATCACCAACCTTTTCTATTTGTTCAATAGTTAACTATATTCACTCTCTCCATATTGAGTCTCGTGAAACCAAACTCGTGTTAAAATAAGATGAATGAAAATTCATTTAAAATTATTAGAATATAAATAAACTGTGAATATTAATTCTTGAATAAGAATATATTTTAAATAAGATCGTTTTTAAAAATTATTTTTTATGCTGCCAATTTTTTTTTTACATTATATATTTATTTTACTTTTATTTAATATATTAGAATATTTATTATTTATTATTAATAATTATAATATTTACTTTTTAAAATTTATAAATTTAAAAAATTTGAAATTTTTCTAAACTTATTTATTTTAAAAAGCCTTTTAATTTAATAGTACATGGGAAAACTGTTACTTTGCCTAACTGTTGACTAAGACATAAGGGTCCAAAATCTGCGGTCGAAACCACTAACTAATTCAGACCAAACAAACAAGGCGGAAGACCAATAACTAACGGATTCAAATATGCGGACCAAAATGATGCATGTGGGTGTAGTCAATAATGTCATTAGTGTTATCTCAGAATGTGAAGCGTCCATTTTTGGTTTAACTGTTCTGATAGTGATTACAACAAATGCATCAAATACTAACTGCACTCCGTCTTTCCACAGCCGTGTGGTTCGAAAAGTCTAAGGACTCCCATCCTTTGTTGGAGGCAATGTTTGGAAGGAAAGAACGGAAAGAGTTTAAAAAGAAAAGGAGGGGAGAAAAATACTCTCTCTTTAAACGTAAAATCTGTGATAACACTAAGCTGCTTTAAAGTTTTATTGTTAGCATATGTTTGTCTTTTTTTTTTTTTTAGCGATTTTGTTAAGAAACTATGAGCTAGTGCTAAAATTATTATGCATATCAAAATTTGGTTTTTCTAATTTATCTTTTTATAACAAATCATATTATATATGATCATTGATCTTATTTTGTTTTGATACACAACAAAATAATTTTTTATCTTTATTTTCTTAATTTTTCTTTTTTTTTCTGACCAATCTTTGATATTAGTTTTCCCTGTTCATAGAGTAGTATTTCAACAGAATTTACTCAAGTTCTGTGAAGTCTAAATATCCTATCACCATTGGTATCACTCAAGGGGTTTCCATGGTTGACACAACGCGAAATCTGATAACTATCCAGGAAGTTAAGTGATCGTTGACCAAAAACGTCAACAAGTACAATACAGCGATGCAGGACAAGATTGACCAGGTTACGACTTGTTTAGTAGAGCTCAAGGGTTTGCTCACTACTGACAATCTCGCACATAAACAAGGTGGTGGGCTTCATCATGAAAACCATGGAAAGTCCCATGGGGTATTCAGCCAAATTCTCCATCACCAAAATCTTACTTTGCAGACTCTATATTTTATGCGTATTTCTAAGGTGAAGTTTCTTCGATTTGACAAAACTCGAATCAAAGAGTGGTTGTACAAATGTGAACAATTCTTCACTCTTGACAACAAACCTCCTGAGTCCAAATTCGTTTAGCTTCTATGCATTTGAACGAAAGTGCATTGCAGTGGTATCTTAATTACTTGAGGTTCAATTTAACATCTACCCAAGATGGTCAGAGTATATTGCAAATATTACCATGAGATTTGGTGCTATCTACAAAGACCCACTCTCGAATTTGATTCAAGTGAAGCAAGTAAGGTGCGTTCACAATTATGTGGAGGCATTTGAGTTAGCCTTGACCCAAATAATCCTTCCCCCTAAATATTCTCTTAGCATTTTCCTTGTTGGGTTAGACCATCACACCCAGATGAATGTTCACATGTTTAATCCCACATCCATAGCTTAAGCCTCGAACCTAGCCCAATTACATAAAGCTTTGAAACTAACACACCCAGTAACCAAGCATTTTAATTGGTCCCCTACTTTTCCCACACTAAACCCAACCTTGACCTGTCCTACCTTAACCTGATGACCTAGAACCCCAAACCTCATATCACTAACTCTGTCAAACCCCTCCTAACTAAAACACCTTGTTCTTTTAACTCAACTAAGATGGCTAAAAGAAGGACAAAAGGATTATACATGTTCTATGATAAAGTTCTACACCTGGTCATCAACTCAAACATAGGCGCACACAAGTGTTTGTGATAGAGTTAGATGATGAAGACAAGGTATATGCAGACTTAACTGTGGATAAAGACCAAGGCAATGTGACTAGAAGTACATCTATTGGTAATACCCCACAACTGTCCATGAATGTCTTATCAGAATTGTATCAGACTATGAGAGTTAACGGGTTGCACAACAAGAAGTTGCAGATTCTCATTAATAGTGGTAGTACCCACAATTTCCTTGATTTGGATGTGGCCAAAAATTTAGGATATAAATTGGAACAACTTTCTCCTTTGTCAGTGACAATCGCAAATGGCATAATAATTGATGCTTAGTTCATGTGCAAGGGGTTCCAATGAAAATTGCAACAAACCTTATTTCAATCCAATGTCATGGTCCTTCCACTAGGGTGTTGTGATTTGGTCTCGGCATTGATTACCCTAGGCCATTGTATGAGATTTCACTAAATTACAGATAGAATTTACCTATTCTGGTAAACTCTTTGTGCTGTGTGGGGCTCAACTATCTTCCATTAAACTCATAAACAACAAAACTTTCACTCTGGCACTGCAGCAAGGAGTCCAACTAGGTATTTTACAACCTGGCTTGCTTGTAGATCTATTTATGGTCCCTACTTGCAACATCAATTTTTGTCTAGACAAGGACCATAATTCATTAGTTCTTCCTTTGTTTGTCGATCTACTCTTGGAATTCAATGATATTTTTCATAGCCCACTTATCTACCACATTTGCGAGGTATTTTTTACCACAAAATACCTTTAAAGGAATCCTCACTATCTATTAACCAAAGACCATACCATTATTATGTAGTTCAAAAAGATGAAGTTGATAAATTGGTGAATGAAATGTTATATCAGGAAATTACATAGTATAGTAACAACCTTTACTATACTTGTAAAAAAAAGGATGGATCTTAGAGATTGTGTGTGGATTATCGCCGCTTGAATTCTCAAATAGTTAAGGATAGGTTTCATATTCCATTAATCGAGGATTTAATGGATGAGGTAGGTGGCTCAGCGATTTATTCCATGTTTGACCTATGATTCGATTACCATCAAGTTAGAATGCGATGTGAGGAGTTTAAAACTGCATTCAAAACACATGTTGGACATTTTGAGTACCTTGTGAAGTTAAGGTTCTTTGTCTCTTTGAAATACCAAAACAAAGGGTGGAGTTTTCATGGACTCATAATCTTTGGCAACAACATCTATTCGCAGAGGGGTTAGACACCCATTTTGTTATTGAGGAAAGGGGTTTTGGGACGTAGAAACTATGAGGTAATTTTGTAAGATTATCTTAGAATTGAGTTTTATTTTTGTGTATAAATAAATTTAACTAATTGGTGTTATTAAGGAAAGACGATAAAGTTGAAGATAATTAAATTGTTGTACTGAGGCAAAAGAGAAGAATTGTCCATCTTGAGAACTCACACAAAATTAGTAAGAAAAAGATTAAGATTTTAAGTTATTTTTTTAAGTATTAGTGTGATTATTAATGGATTAGTAATGATATTATTTTTCATGTTGTTTAGCAAAAAACAAATATAGGAATGTAATTTTAGTAAATACACTATGAAAGAGTGCTTTGATTAAGTCATGGTCCTGTTGTTGTGCTATTGCTTTATATGGATTGTTCTATCTTTAATGATATAATATTTTCAACATTTGTTTTATCTTGAAATATAGATGTGAGAATAAGAAAGTATAATGAGAATAAAAATATTTATTAAAATATAATGTTATGATAATAACAAAACATGGACAAAATACAAGCTTTACAAAATGTCTTCTAACCAAAAGCACAAAACGTAAAGTAAAATAATACATTGTCCCCCTTACATAAGACATTTAATTATGTTGATGCCTTTGAGTACACATCTCCATTCTTGTTTGACCATCAATTGGAACTTGAGAAGTTCTTGAACTTTGAGTTTGAGTTGTTGGTGCATTTGTTCCAGCAGGCTATATAACTTTACAAATAGCTTTGTTATGACCACTTATTCTACATTTGCTGGATTTAACAATCATTTCTTTCCTATTTAATTTGTTTCCATCAACAACCTTCTCAGTTGTATTTTTATTCTTTGAATTTTTTTGCCTCTCAAGTTATTTCTTTATTGGTGAGGATAAGATGTCGGGGTAGTAAGTAGATTTTCACAAATTAGGTCCATTTGCTGGATATATGATAGATTGGTAAACTGGTGCATAATGGTGTTTCTTATAATAAATAGAAACATAATCTACAGGATTAAGATTAACATAGTTCATACAAGCAATAGAACGACAGTAAGGTATTACACGTTCCCTTAATACTTTTTTTAGAATAAAAAATGTAATTGAATCATGTGATATTTTGCTGATTAAGCATGTCAAATATTGATTAATTAAAAATTTATGTGTATGTATTTTTGTAGCCGTTATATATATATATATATATATATATATATATATATATATATTGTAAAGTATGTTATGCATGAACATAAAGTTTATTTATAAAGCATCAAATAAATTTAAATTATCTAAATTTTTTCTTATTAATTTACTTAATAAAAATTATTCAAATGGTTCAATTAATAAAATTTAATATCTAAAAATAATTAAAGTAAAATAAGTTAGATAATACTATAAATAAATAAATAAATAATTTTTCATAAGAATGAGAAAAATAAATATTGACTATTAAATTTTACGATGAGAAGTTAAAATAAAAATATAAAAACAATGAAGATTTTAAAAAAGCCACGTGAATTTTTAAAATAATTATACAACGATACATAAATTGTCAAATTTTACTTTTTTCATAATCATATAAAATCTTTTAAATACAAGCGCCCACACAGGTGCCATTCTTGCCTCTTGGGAAGTTGGATTTTGAAGGGAATTAAGGGAAAAATAATAATTTTTCTGTTTTAAATAAATATATTAAGAATTAATTTTTTAAACAAAAGATATAAATTAATATATTAATATAAACTTAATATATTAATTATGTATATTTATTATCATAAATGATGCATAATTATCTTAATTTAAAATTAAAATATATCCTCTTCTCCTGTTTTTCTTCAAAAATTCTCTCCCAAACTTAATATATCTATTTAAAAATATTAAAAAAAACTGGATCAATCATTTTTCAAAAAAAAAATTGTTATTTGGTTTGATTTTCAATTTTCTTCTTTAAAATTGAATCAAATAGAAAATATATTAATTATTTTATTCTATTGTTGTATAAATACTAATTTAAAATATATTTTATTAAATATACTTATATTTATTTAAGAAAAAACTTGAAATTATTATGCTTTATGATTGTAATTAATTAGACCAAGTTGTTATTTCAGATGAGATTTAATTTATGACTTTTTCTATATTATTATACATTTAAATTTTTATTTAATAAGTATTGTTTCTTAAATAAAAAATTAGTTACTAAAAAATGTATGTAATTAAAACTTTATTTATAATCTACTTAATGAAATTTTATTTATTTAATAAAAATTAAAGTTGTTTCTTTTTAAAAATAAAAAAAATTAATCTAACCCAAATTGCAAATATTAGTTTGAATTGATTTAATTTTAGTATTAATTATTTTCAAACTAATATAAATTAAACCACAACTGTATTTATAATCGGTTATACTATAAACATTAGTCTATATTCATAATTTGACCTTCATTGTTTAGATTTAAAGGATAGTTTTGCTTGATTTTTGTTAAAAGCAAAATTTCTCGTAATTACTATTTTTTTCACTGAGATAAATTAATTTCTAATAGAGAAATATACATGAAAATTTATGTAAACTAAATTCACATCTTAAAAAAAATAATATTAGAAGTTTATCTTGTGAATTTAAACACCAATTCCAATCCATTGAGAGTGTGACCTTATTAGGTTCCATCACTAATACATGTTAATTAATCCATGATGAGAATATTGAGAATGAATGTACCTTAATTAGAAAAATAGAGAGAATCCAACTTTTGAATTTTCCACAAAACATAGAATAAGGGCCTGTTGGGCTATACAGAAAGCCACAAGAGTATATGTTACAATATTAGAATGAAGTATTTAGTCATGTACATAACAATAGTGAATTTACAAAGAGGAAAATCAGCTTTCATGCTGATGTGCTTTCTTCCTAGTATTTGAACCCCATTCAATTGCTTCAGCAACTGCTCTTTGGCGTTCCATGACACTATCATCATCAAGAAGATTCAAAGTGGCATTATTATTGGCTTCTTTGTCTTGTGGTGGGGAGGGCATGTCAATTGGTGCAGTTAGTGCGGGGTCTTGACTCCCAGGAATTGTACCAAGGAAACTAAGAGCTGTGACAACATCACTGATCAAGGGTCTCACTGATGACTCCTCATTGAGACACATGGCTGCTACTGCCACTGCTTGATGCAATGATCTTATTGGATAGTTTCCTTGAAGAATGGGATCTGCTAATTCTGAGTATCTATGAGGGTCCTTGAATACTGGATATGCCTGGTTGGTTTGGAAAGAATGAGAGTAAATTATAACTTCATTGCCAAATTGGAATAATAAAACACAATATATGCTCTTGACGAAATCCATGTGGTTCTGGGGTTGATGAAACAAACGCTAATCAAAAGGCACTTCCCATCATATGCATTTAAACAATTTCCTTATATCTAAGTTTTCAAGTCAAACAGTAAGTCAGGTGTTTTGTTTAACAATAAATAGTACCCATTAAGAATATATAATTCAATAAGGGAACAAAAATTGCCGTGTTTAACGTTTGGCTTGTAAACTTGATTATATAGAAATTTGATCTAAATTTTATTATGAGTGTCTATTTTCACTCTCATGTATCTATTCTGACTCCTATTTAAGTAATTTTTGTTTAAAATATTTTTACTATTAATATAATTATAAGAGCGAAAAATGATATTTTAAATAAAAAAAAATCAGTTAAATAGGTGGTGGTATAGATACACTCTTTTTGTATTAGTAGGAAACATTATAAATATTGCATGTGTTTTATAAATATCGAAGACAATTATCTTTTCAAGTGACAATTATTTTCAATGATGTAATAGAAAGAAAATGTTTTCAATGGTTTAATTTGTTATCTTATTAGAGAGAAGTAAATCAACAGCATGTGAAGTACTAACACTTCAGGAATTCTTCCTTTTAATTAAAACCATGCACAAAGTATAGAAATTTCTTAATAATGTGGTCCTCCCTGAACCTTCTTTTCTTTAAAATTTTGCTGGAAACTCGTTATCAAAAGTAACCTTAAACAAATATGTCAAACACTTCAAATTGATCCATAGACAAACAGAATAAACTCACCCATGAAACTAAATTTTGCTCCCTTGTTGTTCTTGTGTTATCAATGGCTCTCCTTCCAGTGATCAATTCAAGTAGAACAACTCCAAAGCTGTATACATCTGATTTTACAGTTAGTTGACCAGTTCTTTGATACTCAGGTGCACAATATCCATAAGTGCCCATTACTCTAGATGAGACATGAGACTTGTCCCCTGTAGGTCCCAACTTTGCTAGTCCAAAATCAGAGAGTTTTGCATTGAAATCTTTGTCTAGCAAGATGTTAGAGGATTTTAAATCACGGTATATGACTGGTGGATTGGCCTTGTCATGCAAATATTCTAGACCTTTTGCAGCATCCAAAGCTATTTTCATTCTGGTTAACCAATCTAGAGGCTTTTCATGTGGCTGGAGATCTGCATTAAAGTTCAATAAATATTCATAATGATGTAGCATTTTTATAATCTTTAGTAAGGATAAAAAAAATTACATTTTCATACTAGTAATAAGTTGTTAATTTCTTATTGATCCATGACTTTGTTCTTGATCTTGGTTTACGACTTTGGCCTCTCTTTTTTGACAGAGAATTATTTATATGCAGAGTAATCTAGAATGTCAAAAGTGAGAAGAAAATAAAAGAAAGTCCCCTTTAACCTATAGATGTCCTGTGTTCTGTTTTCTTGGAGAGTCTATCTAGAACTTATGTATTCTTAATTATTAAACTTCGATAACTCTTCTAATGTCAATGCTAAATATCAACATTAAAAATTTCTGTTCAAATGACACAGGCAAGGAGAATCTTACCAAGCAAATGGTCCTCAAGAGATCCTAATGACATGTACTCATATACCAATAATCTTTGATCTCCATCAGCACAATATCCAATTAAATTCACTAGATTTTGATGGTGCAAGAGGCTCAACATTAAAACTTCAACAAGAAACTCTCTGTTCCCTTGCAATCCATTCCTGTCAAGTTGCTTCACAGCTACATCCTATACATTTAAATGACCAAATGTCAAAGCCAAGTCCTTCAAAATTTTACCAAAATCAATTTAAGCAAAAAACTTAATGAGAAAAGTAAATTAAGTGACATTATCCTACCTGGTTGGTTTTTTCTAGCCTTCCTCTATAAACCCTCCCAAAACCCCCTTCACCTATTAGGCAATCCTGCCTGAAGTTCTTGGTGATAACAGCCAACTCCCTGAAGGTGAACGTTTGGGCAGCAATGTTATTGTTTCCATTATCTTTGTTGGCCTCTTTGTTCACTTGAGGTTCTGTTTGCACCTTTTTTTTATGATTCTCTGTGCAAAACAAAATGATCCATCAAGCATCCCCTCAGGAACTAAATTTTCGTCACAGAACACACTCAAATGCTTCTCTTTCTAAGAAATATCTTGTATAAACATAGTACAAAGAAACATTATCTTAAGAGACTTACTAAGTTGATTAAGAAATTAATAAATATATACAATTTTTATTGAAAATCACGTTAAAGATGTATTCAAAATTACAAAAAAAAAGTACATTGTCATGCTTTTTAATAAAAAAAGATAATTTTAATTTCTTAATTAAGGTCTTAAAGACACTGTTAGTATTTACCAATAAAGCTTTTGTGATCAGAAGAAATAGTAAAATTGATGCATGTGAAAGCATGTAATAACGATGTAGAATTCCAGCTAAAATCCTCAATAGAAAAAAAAATGTAAATGATTTGCTAAACATATTACAAAGAACTGAATTATCTTCAAAGTTAATATTCATTATTAAAACTACATAGAAATTAATGTCAAATTGATGCAGATGAAATATTTTCATCTTTAAATGGTTTTTCACCTGGCCTTGGTTGAGCTAGTTGGGATGGTTCCTTGGGAGATTGGGTAGCAAGTTGTTGTACCCTCTTTCCATTGTTAGGCCTCTTTGATGCTTTTTTTTCGTTGGAAGAAAAACATGAAAAGCAACTCATTTCTCTGCGATGTTGATTCAGATACCAAAGCTAAAGAACAACTTAATATTTTTTTAAGGTGAAAAAGGAAGCCCTTTAGATATTTGAATTGAAAAATCCTAGGGACCCCAAATTGTCAATCTATCGTAAGCTTTCTCACCTCTATCTTTCCCACGAACACAAAAAAAAGTTGTGTACAGATTCTAACGATTTTACAATCTTAATATAAAGTTTTGGGGGTTTAACAAAATTTACGTGAAACCAAAAGTTGAAAAGCTCCAAAACATTGATCTCGGTTCTTTAACTCGAGAGACTTCTAAGAAATTCTGAGAAAAAAAGAAAAACAGAAAACTAAAGGGGTTCCAAAACCAATAAAAAATATGGACAAAGTTTCAAAGACAGCCCTATTGAAGATGCAAAACCCACCAAAACCCAAATGCCATGCAACCAATGAGGCCTAACGAACCATGAAACAAAGGAACACCAAGGAGCAGTGTGTTAGGTCAGGTCAGAATAGGAACAAACATGGTTGACGACAGTTTTTGGTGTTTCCGCACAAAATGGCTATCGAAAGGGTAAGTCTTAAACATGCTTCAAAACTGCATGAGAGATAAAGAGAAAAACCAATTCCAACGTGTGGAGTAGAGTTCATGATGCCGTTAAACCATTCTAGAATGGGAGAAGACAAAGATAGACGCAGATCTCTCTTTGCAAGTGTCTTGACCCGATTGACGCAGATCATGACAAGTGTATGTATCGGTACATAACAAGTTTTAATAAGCCAAATTCTCAATAAGTAAACAATAAAATTAACATTTAAATTCCTATGTTTCAGATAACTAAAGTTTTGGTTAGATGTCTCAAAAAATGTGGACATCATAGAATAATACAAATACTTAATTAAAGAAATTCAACATGTCTATTTAAATATTTAAAATCCTACATTTCATATAACTAAAGTGTATGTATTTCAAATTTGTGTATCTACTTTAGGTATTTTCTTCTTCTTCTTTTTTTTAACTTTTTTTTTACGTTGCATGTTTATTTATTTTAACCTTTTATTTTTTGTTTGACTTTACTTTTTTTTTCTTAATCATTGTTTTTAACTTCAAGTTTTTCCTTTTTCTATTTTGACCAAATTCTAATATTGCAGAATTTTAAATTTAAGCAGATTAAGTGTAAGTGAACTTAATTGACTTCTTATCTTAAAAATTTTATTAATTTTAATTTATAATTATCTTATTTATATTATTTAATTCGTTGACTTACAATCACAATGACATATATATTAAATAAAATAATAGTTAAAACCAATTTTAATTTAGAATTATCAAAATTTTCAAGCATTACTCATGTTGAACTCTATTAATACAACTCCCTTGCTCAAGTTGGAAAAGTGGAGTAAACTAATTTCAATTTAGAATTATTAAAATTTTCAAGCATTACTCCTATTGAACTCCAACAATACAACTTTCTCGCTCAAGGTAAAACACGAACCATGATATATAAAGTCATATATTAGCAGTATATATCATATATAACTTTGTCTAAGCTAATATGAATTATTTAATAGATTTTTTATTGTTGGGAATCAAATATTCATCATGAACAAAATTTGAAGCAAATTACTTGAAGAGTAAGGAAAAGCGCTACTTAGAGAGCAAGGAAATATACTACTTGAGGAGCAAGAAAATACTGACTATAAAAGAAGAAAAGGATGAAAGACTAGGAGCATCTTCTCTCCCAAGTTTTAGGGACCTCTTCTTCTCTCTGGTATTTTGTTACTTTAAGGTCTTAGAAAACCTTCCTAAGAGAATAAGAAAGAAGAATAAAGGAACTCTAAAGGGCTTCTTCTAAAAAGATGTCTTCTCATAAGTGTGCTCTCTAAACTCACAGGTTGAGAGCGCGACATAGAGATGAAGGATGAAACTTCAAAAATTAACGGATGTGCAAAACACAAAGGAATGTATTCGAACAAGCGTTCCTTGGAACGTTTGAGCGAAGGGATGACGCTCAAGCAAAGATGAGAGAACACTATATTAAACAAGAACTCATGGGCAGTATTTGGGCATAGCTACATCTCGAGGTATTGAACAACCTCCTATGATAATGAGGCAGCTTGAGAGATGGGGGTAAACTCATTCCTCCATAAAACACTTGTTACGTTCGCTTGATTCATCCATGTTGGTCAAACATTCATGAGCTCTCATTCTTTCTTATGTACTTCATAAGTTTACGAACCTACTCCTTGTAACATTTTCTGGTTTTGAAACCTCTATTAAATCATTAAACTAATATTCAATATTTTTAAAATACTTAAGCAACGCAAATTCAATAATTTTAACAATAATCATAATGTCATTTCCTACTTGTTCTTAGTGCCACAAATTAAGCACAAACAAGTATCATAGAAATTAAATCATTCAGCTAATATTACAAAACTTTTTAAATGCTTAATGAAAATGCAATGATTATGATATCATTGTAAATTTAATCAATATTTTATATGTAGACAATGATTTTAGAGGAAGTGATAAAAGATAGATGACACATTTTATGAACTTCACACAACCGAGAAATCACTTTATCTAATTTTAATAGTAGTATTGTTGGACAATATTGACAAGCAAATAACTTAATTGTAAGATATAATTTTTATTTATCTTTAAATCATAATTTGTATGTGTCAAATTAATATGTTAACAAATAACTAAACTTTTGACAATGTTAGGATTGATTGTGGAGTTTAGGTACGAGAATAGATGAGATATTGCATTTGAATTGATAAGTACAACAAGATATTAATATGACATCATTTAAATTTTTCTGCCAATTTTGCTTAAAACACTATATCCATATTTATTAACTAATATTTAGTTTTATAAAAACACATGTTAATGATGTGACAATAATAAGGATGGCTCTTGATTTAATTTGGTTATCAAACTAAACAACAAATCAAGGATGAGCTTATTAGAAAAGCATTTCAAAACTTGAAAAGGATAAAGGAAAAGAAGAATATTTAGTTAAGAATAGTTTCTAGCAAAATAAAAATTTTGCTGTTAACATAATCCCCGTTAACATAGGGATTATGTTTCCTTAGTTTTCTTTTTTGCTTTGGACCATACGATGACATTTTGGTATTAGTTTCATGACTTCTTTTAAATTTTACTTTTATTTTAGTATTACTTTTTAAATATCAATCTATGTTAAGTTAGTTTGATATATAGTTTCTATTTGATAACTTGTATTTGAGAGCTTTAACATGAATGTCCATTTCATATTTTGTTGTCATTGGTCATTAAGTTTTAGTTTATCTAAACCCTACCCGCCCCTACTTAGCATTGTAACGCCCTGAATTTTGTAATATTAATTATTGATAATTATATAAATCTAAATGTATATTCATGTGTGTATTTTTAGATATATGTTGTGAATATGTATGTGTTTGTATATATATATATATATATATATATATATATGTGTGTGTGTGTGTATGCATGGGCTGAAATGGGCTAAGTACCTAAGTACAGGGCGAGATACTGGGTTATTCTCGCTGCAACGAGAGGGCCCTAGGAGGAAGGACTGAAACTGTCACTTTTTCGCTGTAGCGAGAGACGTCTCATTGTAGCGAGAGAGCGACAGTTTGGGGTGCATTTCTAGATGCAATCTCGTTGTAGCGAGAGGGTCTCGCTGTAGCAAAATTCTGCAGAAACAACAGTGCAGTTTTCTCTGGTTTTTTCGTTGTAGCGAGAGGGTGTGTCGCTGCAGCGAGGTATATCTCACTGTAGCGAGAGTGTCGCGACCAGAAAAGGATTTAAAGGGGGTTAGGGTTTGGGGAGAGTTATTCCTTCCTCTCCCTTCGATCCTTTCATGCTCAGAGCTCTTTCTACCTATTAAATTGCCTCCAAAGCCGTTCGAGAGCTTGATTGAAGGTTGAATCCATGTGGGGAACGCTTGGAGGTAAGTTTTAATGGTTAAGGTTTCAGTTTTACATCCCCTTTCTCTATTTTCGTGATTTCCCTAGGTTCTCATGGAGTTTCTCCATGTGTTTAGGACGAAATCTGTGAGGAGAAGCACTTCTTGGTGGATTTAGCGTGTGGGACGTCAATCCAAGGTAAGGGGGACTCTACCCTACTCTTTGTATGCAATTTACCGTTATATAGTTGAATATTGTGATGTGGCTGACTAGAGGATAGGAAATTACTGTGAAATATGATGTGGGTCATGTGCCGTGATATATGAATATTATGTGTATGGATGAGAGAATATGTAGTTGATGAAATTTTGCTATGTATTGCAGTGTGTGAACAAATGTGGGCCCGAGGGCCGTGTAATATAGATGAATGTTGGCTATGTGCCATGTAATTTGAAATGAATGTAAGCCTAGTGCCGTGTATTTGAATGCAATGTGGGCTGTGTGCCGTGTGTAAGCATGATTATTGCATGTGTGAATGGACGTGTTAGCATCATTGTAATGTGTTGTGAATGGTTCAGCGATACACTAGGGTGTGAGAGATGAGGACGGTAGAAATATCTTGGAGAAGAGGGAGTAGTGGTGAAACCGACTGCGGAATGAGTGCACCACGGGCCACACACTCTCTTCCTAACTAGATCTCCGACCATTACCTTTGCTAAGTGACCCGTGACTGCCCACGTGGTATCCGTGAGGCGGGGGTAATCGGCGACCATTTATGGTGTAAATCTGTGATCACAATGCTGTAGTGAATGTGGCTGACGTGCATATGCATTGAGTTTTTGAATTATACTTATGGATGTGAAATGCTGCTTATGTTTGCGCTTGGTTAATGTATTGGAAATATTCTGCAGGTGAGACTCTACGTTTATTGTGTGTTTTTTGGTAGTGTAGAGTACTCACTCTTACATTTATTTTTCAGATAATCAAGACGATCAGCATCAGACTCAATGAAGGGGTGGATGAAACTGATATAGGACTTAGGATATTATTTTGGAAAACTATTGTATTTAAATAAGTCTTATAGCAACTATTTGATATAAAT